CGGATTTAGGGTTTCATTTGTTTGTGTTTTTTTTTTTTGTTGGGAACAAAGAAAATTGTGGGGTTTAAATAGAAAATCTCTTTTAATTCTTATTTTTTCAGTTTGGGGTGTATTTAAGGGTAGTTTGGGAAGATAGTGGGGTTTTCTTGGAAATTTTGAAAATTTAAATTAAAAGTTGGGGTGAACTTAGAACATGATGTGAACTAAGAGAAGTGTGGGGTTTAAATAGAAACTCTCAACTAAGTGGCTTCCCAAATTTCCATTAGATTGTCTCCACTTCAACACCGCGATAGGTTGCCGTCAAGAATATATCCATAAAAAAACATAAGGCCTGCTCCAGTACAAAGCATTCACAACTTCCATAGATTTTCAAATCTTGTATGCTGTTTTTGTTTTTCGTTTTTCCTCATTTGCTGCCAATGATCAATATGGCACGTGCTATTGTGGCCTGCACCCCTGCAGGACAGTTGGCAAGTAGAGATTTCCACAAATCAACTTCCCTCGGAAATTGAAGTTTTGTGATGTTGGGTTGACTCGGTTTTTATTGGGCTAGTTTTTTTTTTTTTTTTTTGGGGACAAATAGATTGGGCTAGTTTCATCATGACTATTATATGAAGGTTTTATAAATGACTCAAAAAAGCATTCAATAAGGAGAGAAGCTTGAATGTGGGGTTATCGTAAGGGGTTATAACTTATAATAAGATAATCTTTGATAGTCGTCCAATTTAGTGACGTCTGATCTACCAAACAAATTTCTAACTTTACATTGATTGTAGCGACATATAAATTTAAAAATTCATGATCGGAGTTGGCAGGTGAGTGATTTTTTATAACAAAGTAATATTTTAAATCACTCTAATGTATTGGGAGGAAGATAATGTAAAAAGGGCAACTATTCTAACCCACGTATGCAAACAAACAGGTGGAATTTATTGATGAAATCGTTAATTCAAAAACTCGAATATATATTATTGCTAATTTTCAACAAAAAAAAAAAAAAACCTTGAATATAATAATGTATTTGTGCTCAAAAAGTGATTATGTGGCCCATGATGTAGTGTAATGGACTTCTGTTTTAGGCCTGAAACACTGTCAAAGGTGAGGGCTTGCTCCACACAGTAAGGGCTTTAGAGCCCACCAGACCCTTTTCTATTAATTTCCATTTGTTTTTTTGTTCGATTTATTTCCATTTTTTATTCGATTTATTTCCATTATTTAAAAAACACGCTACATCCTATAGTCAATACGCGGTCGTTTCACAGCGCATTACCAGTTCACCACTTTACTGCTTTCACAAGCTTCCAAAAGCTTGAGCCCCCATGTGACCACCGACAGCGCCAGCTGCCCTTAATCACAAGCCCAGTTCTTTCCTCTGCGCCAGTTCACCCCATATCTCCTTGCAATCGCCAATACCCTTTCCCCACCCAACACTTTCAACTCATTCAAAATTACCACAAAACCAATGTTCACCACGTGGCACTATCCTATTCGTTTCAAAAGACGGTGTAATAGTTTCGGCAAGTAGAGGAGAGCCCTCTTTACGCGGTTTAGGGCAATCAATTGTCCGCCTATTGCTGAACTTTTTCCCACTAATGCCACTCGTTGCGTTGCCTTTTATCATCAAATATCATCATCACGTTGCCTCTTGACTCTCCTCTCTTCATATATCACTCTTATCTTCTC